GGGGGGGCGGGCGTGGCATCTGGGTATTGGAGAGGTTTGGACTGAGCAGAGAAGGTTCTCTCATCACTTTTTTTCCCTTTATTTTCCCATCCATATTGTAAGGAGCTGTCTACTCTAGTTCATTGTTATTGTTCAGTATTTTTGTTATTTCATTGATGATGGTTTTGTTGGTGTGATTGTAATTGAGCTATTGTAATACAAAGTTCAGTTTCATTTCTTCTATATTCTTTTGATTCCTAACAAACTGTAATGTGATCACATTTTGTTGAAAGATTTAGTTGTAATGTTGAACTTCACATGAGACAAGGCCATACCAGTAGTATCCTGCATTTGTAAACAGTTCCTCTGTAGTTTCTCTTACTTGATGTCTGAGGATGGGGTGCTGTTGGACATGCCAAGATTTATTTTTTGTCAGCAATTGGGGATTTTTGGCTGACAAAGAAATTGTGACTATTTACATAAATGCTCAGAGTCTGAGTGCTAGATCTAAATCAAATCAAATGTTGCTTCTGTATGCAGTGTGCACATATTGATCTCTAAATTTATCAACTGGTTTGATTGCTGATCAAATTGAATGAAAAAATGCAAATGAAACTAAAAACTGCCTTTAGAAACTGCATAAGTAGATAATTGTAGTCATCATATACCCCATCTTTTAATTTGTTACTAGCTTGGACTGCTAAAATGATATTTACATGAACATTTTGTGTTACTAACTTGGACTGCTAAGATGATATTTACAATATCAATTTTGGAAGCCTACTTCTTATTGACATATTTTTGTATCAAATGTTTGGCAATTTATTCTTTACAAGCATTTTTTTTTCTCACCCTTGGTCCTTGTTTAATCAGGCTTGTTCTGGGATTTGTCTATCAAAGGAAAAACTTCTTCATTGTCTGTTAGAGGGAACTGCAGCTTCTGACAGGGAAGGTGTTGGTGATGAAGAGAAAGATGTAGTTGAGGATTTTAAGCAACATGGCGGTATGTTACTTCTGAAGCTCTTTTCCTCCTTTGCAATTGATGCCTGGTTTCTCTGTTTGACTCTGTTCCCCTTCTTTGGTGATTTATGATATATAAACAATGAGGAAAGCTTGTATTGGTCTAATTTATGTTGAACCGTTTTTTATGACTTAAAATAAAACCGGTCTAATTCTTACAATTAAACCTCAGATATTTGGTTTGATTAATAAAGTAGTTCATACCTGTTTGAGTTCAAACTGGTTTTGTAATTATATAAATCTGATACTTCATAAAACTCTTGGCTTGTCTTAAATTTGATTTGGATTAGATTAATATCTTTGGTAAATTTTGGTGAATCCCCTTTTAAGCTTGAGATAAATTATGGAAAACAAAGGCTACAATGAATAAATTTTCATTTTAAATAAAAACTAGTTAATAGTTAGTTTAAGACCAATGTTTTAATGGTTTTCTTTTGAATTAGTTCCCCTGAAAATTGATCAATCAAGAACTTGTTTCAAATCTCAAGTGATTATAAAACATTTAATACTTGAAAAAACAGCCCCATCATATAATTAACTAGGCAAATGCCTCCATAATGTACTTCATAAATATCTTTTGTTTTGCCAAACTTATGTCTTGTATTTGACTCCTTTAGAGTAAGGGATCCACTTAACAAAGTAGGGAGTTCTAGCTTTTGATTCAAAAATCAACTTTTAAAATTATAATTAAATATATGCACATCTTTACTCTCTAGAGAGAACCCCTCATTTAAAAGAATGAGCTAAATCCTCAGGTTTTATAGCCAAGCATGTAACATGCGTTGGAGTTATATTCTTGGATTGATTAAATAACTCTTGAATGATGTTGTCATGAGCAAGTATCCCAAAATTTTCAGCTGTTATGCAAAGATACATTAATGTTTTTTACTTTTCTAACACTTCCCCTCACACAAGAGTCCTTAGTGTAGATAATGCATAGATCCAACTACCTTGTTTGATTACATGCTTTTGTTTCAGATTTTCCAAAATCTTCCACGCTAGATCAACATGATCAATAGTAGCAAACTTATAATTTAACAACTGGATTGATAAAAAATACATTTTATATAAAGGTAATTCATGGTTACTGTTAAGTATATGTCAAGTCTTAAACCAGTATGTCCGGCTTGTATGGGTTGTCTAAGAAATGGAAGGTTTCTTCTCTTCTTGTCTGTAATCCTTTAATCATGTGTTGTGGGTCGTGCTGTAGGTTGGATGTTATTACACTGGTAATACATCATTTGAACTTGCATTTGTTTTGAGATTTTTTTGACAAGTTATAGAGATACTGCTTTTAATTCAGCATAAACTTGTACACTTGTCATCAAATGCTATTGAAATCTCGCATGTTAGTTGACATCCCATGATCATATTTCCACATGTTTTAGTGGGTATATATATTTTCTTCTTCTTCCTCTTCTTTCTTTTTTTATTTTATTTTATTTTTATTTTAATAAAAGAAAAAGGGAGGGAGGTAGGGGGAGATTGTCTTGGTCTTTCTGTGCCTTAACATGAAAACTTATATGATCTGAGATGTGATCTTCTATGTTCATCAGGCTCCCCTAAATGGATCAAAGTGAATGAAAGGAGAACACTTCATGACGTTCTTAAAGAGCCTAATTTCATCATTCCTGGAATCCCAGGTAAAATGTGGTTCATGGAATCTGATGGCTTTTTCATCATTGATTTTGTTTAGAATTTTCTCTTACTACGATGTATTGGCAGTTTTCTATGTTGTTTCAAAGCGATCCAGCTTTTACAGCAAGTTCAAAGCTGGAAAGTGGGCTCCTCCAGTTATGTGAAGGAAGCAACAGGCAGGATTTGAAGGTATCTGATGTCTAAACATTCTCTTTGTAGTCATGAGCAGATGGCGTCCAGTTCTTCCATCTTTTTTGACTTCCTTTTAAACCAGAGTTACCTGCTAATTGCAACTATTTTGGTGAGTGAAGATTTCAATGATAGTTCTAAAATACGAGGAACCTCCCTTGCTTGAGTCTGATTCTTCTCTCTTGTAACTTAGTCACCAAAGTATATTTTGATATAGCTTGTGTTTTTTTTTGGTACATGTATAATTATTTGATTTATTGGTTTTGTCTAGACTTTTATCTAGTTTTAGGTACTTAATATTTTTTAATACGTACAATATCCTCTTTTTATTTTTATTTTTTTCACTTAGATGGTGCATTCCAGTTTCCTATCTTATGTGTGTGTATATACACCTTATTGTTATATTTATTTACACAATGGTCCCTCTTTTCAGTCTTCCTTATGATTTCTTTTACGGGGAATAAATTAAAAACAGTGAAAAAAAAAAAGAATAATAGGGGCTAAATTATCAGCAATAGATGGATTATATTTAGGAGCTATTCAGCTCAGATTAATTATTGTAGAAAATGTTAACTAATATAAGTCATATCTATTTTGAACAATGAAACTTAAAAAATAAATATACATTTTTTTAAGCAAACGTGTGATCACTAAGTTAGTTTTGACCGTTATGTATATAATTAATGCAAATTTGATAATAGGCCATGTTTCCACTTTTAACATTATTTGTGTGAAGGTTATGGTTAGAAGTTCAAAATGTAGAAGGCTTATAAGGTGAAGTAGTTTGATGCGTGCCTAACCTGTGAGACAGTTACTTTACCGGTAATAATCGGTTTTGTAACTTGTTTATATTGCAAAATATTTCCTATATTCAATAATTTTAAATAATATTTTCTCCGTTTTTTTTTTCATAGTCGTTTTGTTAGATTTTGTTATTTTTTTTTCATTATCACTTTTTTAAAATGAATGACTTATTAATTTTCTTTTTTATTTTTACCCTTAATAATTAATACATATTTACTGAATAATGTGTCTATTCATTTTTTAATATACTTATTTCTTCTTCAATTACCTAAAGGGTATAACAGAAAAATATGTAATAAATACTTTAAAAAATTAAAATATCAATTATTGTCTTAATTCTTGTGCATATGCTCGAGCTTGTAGTGTTGGCAATTGAAGACGTCAAATGTAGCGCCGTTGGAATCATTAGTCGAAGTGATAATAATAACCTTTAATATTTAAATTCTATATTCTTACAATAGACTAATCTGCAAAATACAAATATAACTTCTTCCAAATTACCAATAATAAATTTAAACTGTTTATTATTATATTATTAAATTTAACGATAAAAATTAATATTTCATCTATGTACTATATTTTATACATTTTATATTGTTTCATGTTAAATTTTTTCCAAAATGTTAGAAAACTTAATTTTCTTCTAATAGATAAATTTGGGATTAGCTTATTAAAAGACGAAAAATATGAAAATAAAGGTCCAATTCGTAGTATTTGAGAGAAATGTCCATAAATTTGAAGGTGGAGGCGATATTTTATCTAAATTTATAATTCTCATGGGAGAGTCTTGTTCCCCTTTCTTATGTATTGTTTGCATTGATACTAGGACTCACGGGTTGGACTAGGTACATCTTTTATTGTTTTTGGCCCCTCGTTTTTTTGCTATTTGTCCTTTATTGTTACGTTACACGCATTCAAACAATGAGTATTTCTTACTGCGATAATTTGTCTTTTGGAATTAAAATTTTAAAATCTATCTGAATATTTCAAAATTGAATGTTTAGAATTAGTAGTCTATATATTACAGCCAGGAATTAAACTTTCAAAAATTAAATTATGGGACAATGAAACCACATGTCTAGACTTAATAGATGTTATCAATTTGTTATTAAAGTAACATGTTTCTAAAAGATTTCGTGATTTGCAGTTGAATTATTGGAAGTATGCATGACATCGTGACCGTTTCATGTTTTATATCTGACTTGTCTATTATTGTTAATTTTTATTGCCAAGGTCTTGCAAACGCTAGCTGTATAAAGTTTTTATTGAAAATTATATTAAAATTAGAGTTAATTACTTATACACTGTTAGTATAAAATTTTTTTACATTGACAATCAATTATATCTTTTAATTGTGTCATGTCACTATAAACACATTTATTTTTAACAGTGACATGACACAATTAAAAAATATAATTGGTTGCGTAAAAAAACTTTACACTGGCAGTATATAGGTGATTAACTCTTAAAATTATATAAGAAATATATACTATTACACTTTTTAATAAAAACTTAATTTTAATTCCTTAACCATTTACCTAAGAGTGGTTAACATTTTTTCTATTATATTAATTAAAACAGTAGGAGTGGTGCATGTGCAATTGATGGAGAGGTGATCAAGAACATACGATTATTCAGTACTGACATTTGACAAGTAGCTATAAGGATAACTTAGTCAAAACTCAATCAAAATAGTTTTCCAACATCAATTGCAAAAAACATCATTCTGATCACTTGTTTCTTCATGCTGAGTGACTTGGGAAGACAAAGTTCATATTATTATAAAGGCATGACTATGATTGACTTTTCTTCAACCACCACAAGCAAAGGCTTAACTAACTAGATCACCTCACTTCTGCATTGCAAGCACACAACGGAGACATCCTCCTTCATGCATGAGGTCAAATGCCTTATTGATCTCCGCAAGACTCAAATTGTGGGTAATGTACTCATCAACCTTGATTTCCTGCAAAATGAGTGAAACTTGGTGTTCATAACTAACCATGCATTTCGACTTTCCAACAACAACATTGAAGCTTAATGCATACAACAATAGTTCAAAACCTTTACCTTCTTCATGTATTTGTCTACAAGCCAAGGAACTTGTGACCGGCTCTTGAAGCCACCAAAAGCTGTTCCTTTCCATACACGACCAGTCACCAATTGGAAAGGTCGAGTAGATATTTCCTGCCCTGATGCTGCAACACCCACAATAACTGATGTCCCCCAGCCCTGGAAATTTTCAACAAGCAAATGTATTTATTTTTTTCTTTCACTTTTACATTCAAGGTTGTCAAACTTTGAGTTAACAAGTAAACTAAACTTGAAGAGTTTACGATCTTGAATAGAGAAGACAAAAACAAGTTAACTCTATGTCAAACTCTTTTTTGGATAAGCTCTTTAAACTCGTGTAAACTCTCATAAATACTCGAGTCAAAATGCTAGTTTAAAATTAAATGTAATTTGTCCTTATTGAATCCACAATGTTAATATTTTACTATGACTTAGACGAATTGAAAAAATCAACTCCTTTTTAAAATATTTTTACTTTATGAACTTATGCTTTTATGAAATTACATATAATTTGATCAATAATTCAGTTTAATCTTATTTGATACCAAAGTACTATAACACTTTATTATTATAGTTTACTACTTTGCCTTTTTATAGAGTTGAAACGTTGAATTATTATTGTGTTAAGAGTATTTTGTTATGCATATATGTTATTAATAGGTTTTTTAATATTATTTTTATAATAAGTAAATTCTTGTGAGTTTACGAGATTTTATAGAAGCTCCACAAATTTATATAAACTCTCGGGTTTGAGAACCTTGTTTACATCAATCATGGATTTGTGGTAGTGTAAGAGAAATTGAAACAATGAGGTAGCACTAGCAGGCGAGCAGCAACACTCACCTTATGGCAGCATTCCAAAGCAGCCCTCATCACTGAGACATTTCCAATGCACTCAAAGCTATAATCAACTCCACCATCTGTGAGATCAACTATGACCTGCTGAATTGGTTTCTCATGTTCTTTTGGATTAATAAACTCGGTGACTCCAAAGTTCTTTGCTGCAAAGTAAAGTAAGAGAAGTAAATAAAAGAAATGCACTAATAACATGGAGGCTTTAGCATTTTATATTTCCATCCCTAAATAGAAAACTGAATAAAACTAAAGCTGAGAGCAAACAACATAAAGTAGCACATAAGTTGACCGAGTTCTTAGGCCTATATTCTAGCAGTTTTGACAGAAGAAACATGATGAGACTATAAATCAATAAAATATATATACAAACCAAAAGAGCAAATATATTAAGATCATATAGTAGCTATATTATTCCACTTGTGAGTGAACAATTTAAAAATGAAATCATCTTTATCAGATAGCTTAGTAAAAAATTTGATTATTTAAGCTGATTGCTGATAGGTCAATACACATAATTTGGAGAAGTATTTGGCAAAACATAATAGAGATACATGACAGCAGATTACTTCACAGCATTCAAGGCATACTGTCCAAATTATGTAAGCCAAGCTCATGTTGTACCTCTTTCAAACTTATTGCTGTCAATATCTATGCCAATAATTCGTGATGCACCAACAGCTCTTGCACCCTCTGCAACCTATTAAGTATGAATTTTTAGTCAAAATGAAATCCCCAAGACGAAACAAAAAAGCAAAAATCTACTAGTCTTTTTTGAGAAACTCACAGCCAGCCCAACAGTTCCAAGGCCAAAAATAGCAACAATTGACCCCGCTTCCACCTTTGCAGTGTTCCAGACAGCTCCAAGGCCTAAAAAGTTAATCAAAATAATAATTGAATTGGGCATAAAATATTTTAAAAAATAAATGCAATAAAAATCCACCAATCTTGTCCAGTAGAATGCTTAGATGGAATAGAAGAGTAAGAAATAAAAATGAAAACCACAATTATAGAAACATTGTTTTGAGAATTCAAACAAAATGGATACATAGTTAATTTTCGGTTCAGCCAAGTTTAGACAGAGTAACAAGTATCAACCAAAACTTCTATATACATCCCATAATTTATCCCCATTCCTCACTACATATTCATTCAGCAATACCCTCCATCACTTAAACCATTTGAATACATCAAGAGTCCAGAGTAAGAATTAAGTGGAGAAGAAGTATTTCGTAGCATAGTATTGTCAAAAGTTGTATAAGGGGTTATTCTAACCAGCAACTTGAGTTAAATTTGTGACCCTGATAAGGAACAAAAAGTTTAATCAGCTGCATTTGTATGGCAAGAAGTTTCTCATGACCACACCATGCCAAATGGAAAACCATTGTCATTTGTCCACTCGCATTTCATGACTTCCTTACAGTGATAAGCCACTTTCTACATAGCATACAATATCTCAATACAATTTTCAAATTACAAAAGGACATAACATAACATACCGGTTGGAACACCACATCCAAGAAGACAAACTTTCTCCAATGGAGCTTTGGGATCGATCTTAGCTACACTAACATCATGAACAACAGTGTATTGACTAAATGTGGAGGTTCCCATAAAATGATAGAGTGGTTTTCCATTAATAGAGAAACGACTCTTGTGATCGCTCAGCATGACCCCTACCCCAGTGGCAGATCGAACTTTGCCACACAGATTGGTTTTGCCTGATTTGCAAAACTTGCACTCTCCACATTCAGCCTGGTAACAAGGGATGACATGATCACCAGGCTGAATTTCAGTAACACCTTCTCCAACACTTTCCACAACCCTGTAACAAAACACAAACTCTTATATATCAATCAAGTGTGCCAAAGTAAATGCTTTAATGATGTAGATCAATCAAGTGTGCCAAAGTAAATGCTTTAATGATGTAGATCAAAACATATAGGGTTTGTTTGGATAAATTTTTCGGGAAACACTTAAGAAAATTAAAAAAAAAAAGAACTTTTCCAAAAGTTAAAATTAATTTATGCATAAACTAATTTGTAGAAACTTTTGTATTAGCTTCTCCAAAATATACATTAACTTATATACAAGTTAATTTTAATCATATTTTATTGACCAACAAGGTTTGAGTTCAGCAGAAGCAATTAGCCCCCAGTGTAGTTTGGTCTATGGTTCAAATTTTCACCAAGTGTTTACATTTAGAATCTGTTTGAATGCAAACTTAAAAGGGTTCTTGAGAATTTTTTTTAAGCTTATATCCAAATAGATTAATGGTAACCATGTCTCCTGCATGAATGCCTCTAAACAAGATACTTGTGGTAAAACAAAAAAAAAAAATAGTATTCTATGATTTGTTTTTGTTCATATATTATACCCTGCAGCCTCATGACCAAGTATACATGGGAAAAGACCTTCTGGATCCTGCAAGAGTAAGATAAATTCACATCAGAAAAAACCTTCATGCATCAACCAAACTTATTATAGATTTAATCCTTGCAGTGCATAAACCCAAGTACATGCCAACAAAAAAAGATAATTTTTTTCTTCTAAATATTCGACCAAGTATTATACCCAGAAACAGAAAACACCAATCAAAGCAAAAGTAAAAAAATCTGAGATGGAATAAAAAGATGGGTACGTATGTAGTATGCATGTACCTTGCCGCTCCAAGTGTAAGCATCGGTGTGACAGAGAGCAGTGTAGAGAATTTGGACACGGACCTCGCCGTTCTGCGGCGGAGCCACCTGAACGTCCTCGATGGTCAATGGCTTGTTGGGTTCCCAGGCCACCGCGGCTTCGCCATGAAAACGGTTTCAGTGATTCACGTGAAAGTGTAATAATGATGATAAATAACAAGAGAGAGAAGCTTTGATGGTGAATAGGGAGAAGAGAGAAAGAAAACCTTTGCACGTAATGACTTGTCCTTGAGTAGCCATCGTGAACCACAGACAAAATGGAATTCAGATTCGATGAAACCAAAAAGCTATCGTCGTCTATGATACGAGGTATGGTGACAGTGGAGCCACTCTGAGATTAATATAATATTTTTTTATAAACATATGATAACTGTCTTTTTAAAACATTTATTCTTTACGAGGAAGAATCCTCTAAATATATACTTGTTTTTTTCGATAATTTATATTTTATATTAAATTTTAATGATTTAATTATTTAATTTACAATTTTTTAATGTATAGATTAAATTTATAAATTTTTAAAAAAATTTAAAATTATTTGATATTTCATTTTATTAATTTAAATTGATGGATAATCATAAAATCATTTTATACGTTGATTCGAATTAATGAAATAAAGTATTAAATAATTTTTAAAATTTTATAAAAATTTGTAGATTTAATTTATGTATTAAAAACTTTAAATTGAACGGTTGGATCGTTGAAATTTAATGTAAAACATGAGTTATTGAATGAAGTAAGTCTAGGTAAACTTATCTATATTTACTACTCGAGTAAAAGGATCTCTCCTCATTCTTTATATAATATTACCTTATTTATTTATTAAATACCATATAATTCAATTGGAAATAGTTTAATAAATAAATTATTAAAATAAAATACATGGAAAAAAAATTAAAATAATATTTAATTTTATTAATAAAACATTTTATAATTTTTTTTATCAATAAAAGTTATAATGAGATCTACAAGATTTCAACTAATGAATTAATGCATATTGTCTCGATAAATATATGAATTTTTTTTCTTATACATTATTTATATTTCCTTTATTAATTAATTAATTAATTAATTATTATGTATAATTAACTTTTCTAATATTATAAAATATTAATTTTATTAATATATATATAATTATTTAATAAAATTTATGAATATAATATATTTATTACTTTTCATATCAATCTACATAAATTCAAAATGAGTTATTAATGTAAAATACACAAAGACACAAAAAAATATAAAATTTAATGTCATTAATAAAATATTTATAAATATATAAATGAACATTTTTTCCTATATTGATTTATAACATAGTATTTATAAATTAAAAAAAAAAAAGTAAAGCGATTTCTTACATATATAATATTCATAAATTAATTTAATAAATATTATATATAAATAAGTTTAGTATTAATAATACTCTAAAGTATTACTTTTTTACATTAATTGATTCCCATGTTTGTCATTAGAGGTTTTTTTTATATTGCAAATTATATAAATATGTACGAAAGTATCACACTTTTCTCAATATTGTCCAAATTAGCAAGTTTTACTATTCGAGTGAGAACACCCTTCATCCCGATTTCTTTTCTTTATTTTAATATATATATATTATCATAAAATATGTACAAAATTAAAATATTTTATGACTTAATAAATGTCTATTATTATTCAACACAAAATACTAACATTCTAATTATCAAATTTCTAACGGTTGTTTAAAGATTAGTGTTGGAAAAATGATGATAAAAGTGTGTTAATATCACATTGTATATTATTTGGTAATAATAGTATTTTTTTTAGAAATCTATTAATTTCTTTAATGTGAAAATGATTATTAAATGAAAAATAATAATTGTTTGCGTCTCTTAAGTTTGATACTCAAAAGACTATAAATCATCTAACTAGAAATAATATTTGTTTATGTTTTTTTTGACGCTTAAAAGTTATAGATCATCTAATCAATATTATCATCATTTATTACATCTTTTTAGTAGGTATGGCAATGGGATGGTAGGAATAAAATTTGGATACACATCCTCCATCCCTCTCTCTCCTAGACTTTTTATTTATATATATATATATATATATATATATA